TAAGTGAAACACTATTATAACTAAACATTTAGTTACTGTGTACTTCTATTGTTTTGTGCATTATTTAAGTGCAAAGTGTGTGTATACACACACACACACACAAACAAACACACACACTTATATAACAATTCCAGCCCGTCTATCAGAATGCTGGAATATCCACTAACATTAGTTCAACAAATTGTTCTTAATAAAACCAATTGAAGTAAGGTAGAATGGAGATAAAGGATTCATAATAATTTTAAAAAAGGAATAGCATCAGAGACACAGGCAATGGATATAGGGCTCTGCAAGACCAATTTATCATAAGAAAGAAACAATTTCATTTACATCTGTGAACAACTGGAAATTTGAAACACATTTCCAAATTATACCAGCTTCACACATTGCAACATACATTAAGTGTAGTTTTTCCTAAAACGTGTTCTAGTTCTCAGAATAAGACACAAGATTTTGCAACCCTAGTGTGGCCCACTTACCAGAGTACCAGATATAATATCTCTTCCTCATTGTCCTAATAATTTGTAGGGTATAAGAAATAGGTTGGTGTTTGCTCATGAATAACATGCACAGGTATCGGCTGCAGTTGTGGATGTTTATGCCAGGAGACTTCCACACTCAAAGCTGAAGCCTAGTCAGAATATACTGTGCACTTTACCTGGATGATCAAGACCATAGGAACAAGTTCTGACAACAATTCAGCTTTCTGTAGACTTTGCGTCGAAGGACAGATGTGTCTCGCCCAAGCAAAGTAGGAGTGAGTTCTGCAATGATCCTGATTTTCATACACAAGTGCACTCAATTATGTCTCCCTCATAAATTTGATGAAAACCCTCCCCAGAAGTGTCACAACCTACAGTTTGACTGTACATCATACCAGTGATGAATGTGGGATATGTTAAAGCTACTTCATATGCCAAAACAACTAATTATTTTTTTGAGGAGTCTTTATAATGATCATAAATCTACTACTGGTATAAGAATTAAATTCGCAGAAAAGAGTTGTTCAGAACTGAGAAAGAAATAAAACCCCTTACGACTGCTTAACGTGCAGTAGGTAGCATGTATGTTATAGGTATGGCAAGAATTGGGAAAAGAATATAATTGAGAATTAAAATTGGAGACTAGGAAATTAGGAATGATTTGAATTATGCAGATGGTGCTATTTTGTTAGCTATTTTGTTAGCCAAGAGTAATTGTTGTGACAAATTTAGGCAAGATTGTGAAGGTAAAATACATTTCAACTGAAAGAAAAATCAGAATGGTTAATGAAATGGTCTTTCCACTCTCAAAGGATTTTTTGTGAAATCTGGACCATGAGAAATACTGAGAGAAAATCAGATGCCTCTGAATTAAGCCCTGCCTTTGATGCTTTTGATTATTAAGCTAAGACTACGATAGATTGTGAGAATATCAATAAATCTACCTTGGAGTTGGACCAAACAAAGGCTGACTGATCCCTTGTGGCAATGATCAGCAAGTAGTAACACCCTTTGGGCATATGATAGTTGAAACAGGTGATGGATTAGAAAAATAATTATGCTTGGCAAAGGTAAGATAGTGAATAAGCTTGAGGGACAGGATCAAAAAGATTACTGGAATGGCATGATAAATTAAGATGGAAAGCATTTATCAAAATTTTGCCAGAGTCAACCCAGCTTAATGATACCAAATATAGTAAGCTGCAGATGTTCATACCAATGGTTTGGACCTTTCTATGTGTTATTAAAATATGGTTGAAACACTGATGCTTTAAGATTGCTTGGAGCACATCAAAAACTGCACTGGGAATCCCCAATTCCCTATACAGAAACCCCA